TTCTTTAAATCTAGGGTAAATTATCAGTTCTAGTCCGTTTTAGTACCTAAACTTTTAATTTTTTTAAATCATACTTAAAGTCTAGTTTTTGTTTCATATCAGCACCCTTGTTCAAAATTTAAAGTTAATTTTTGAAAGAAATGAAAGTTTAGGAAATTAAAAGAACCAAAACTAATAGTTGAAGTACTAAACGCATTAAGTTTTTAACGGTGTGATACTAAAATGAAACAAAAATTAAACATTATGCGTAATTTTGAAAAAATTAAAACTTTAGATACTAAAACATATCAAATCTGATAGATTAGATATTAAATGCATAGTTTACCCATTCATTAAATCTATTAGCTGTCAGTAATAAATTTTTATTCATAACTAACAAGTAGACCTTTCTCAAACACCCTTCCAAAATTTTACGCTATACTCATCCCTACGGGTCTATGATACCTATAAAAGAGGTTTGTTGATGAATTGTATTGGGTGCAGGTGAATCGGAGAGGATAAGGAATTGCAAGGGTAGGGTGCTTGCGTTGAAGGAAGAACCACATATCCAGCGAGTGTGGCTGCCCCATGAGGATTCGCTGGCTTAGCCATGTCTCGAGCTTTTGGGGACTTCCGACTCAAGAACCATGGCATCATTGCAGTCCCTGATGTCTCCTATCACCACTTGACTCCGAATGATCACTCCATTGTCCTCGCATCTGATGGGGTAACTCTTAACTCTTAAGCCCACCTATTTAAGAGAAATTTAAGTAAGAGAAAATAACCTCATTCATCAAAAATGCCTTATAATATACGATTTTAACCAACTTTTTTTGGATTTGTCAAAATGACCAACTAAATCGCAATGCGATCGATAATTCGCAACGCGATCTCCGGTATCGCAAATCAGTTTCCAGATTCGCAACGCGAACTTCGACTATCGCAATGCGATAGTCGACTATCGCAATGCGAATATGTAAATCGCAATGCGATAGTCCAAGTTCGCGTTGCGATAGTCCAAGTTCGCATTGCGATAGTCCAAGTTCGCATTGCGATAGTCCAAGTTCGCGTTGTGATTTATTCTAAATTCGTTGCGATAGTCCAAAATCGCAACGACTGGTGGTATTGCATTTGTTTTTTAAGAATTTTCTCTAAAAAGATAGTATTCGCGCGGACGTGTCGAAGACACGTATTACCACGACCACGACCACGACCACGACCACGACCACGACCCTGACCCGAGACGGACGGCGGCGGCGCGCGAGAGTCCCCCTTGTTCTCTATCACTCAACAAGGAAATGGGAAAGCCAAGCCTTAAATATCATTCCCAATAGTGTTTCCAATACTATGTGGGATTGAGCATTACCAACACTTGTTTCCAATATAATGTGATTATTTAGGAAACAATTAACAATCATGTACCTTAAAACAACTGAATCAGCAACCAATTGCATTAGTATTATACGATTAAATATGTCATAATTAAAAGTCAATCTACAATCAATCGCGATTATTGCAATTTTAAGCAAAACATTCAAAAATAATATCACTATTTAAGGCTCAATCCCACATAGTATTGGGAACAAGTGTTGGTAATGCTCAAATCCCACATAGTATTGGAAACACTATTGGGAATGATATTTAAGGCTTGGCTTTCCCACTTCCTTGTTGAGTGATAGAGAACAAGGGAGACTCTCGCGCGCCGCCGCCGTCCGTGTCGTGGTCGTGGTCGTGGTAATACATGTCTTCGACACGTCCGCGCGAATACTATCTTTTTAGATAAAATTCTTAAGAAACAAATGCAATACCACCAGTCGTTGCGATTTTGGACTATCGCAACGAATTTGGAATAAATCGCAATGCGGACTTCGACTATCGCAACGCGAATATGTAAATCGCAATGCGATAGTCGACTATCGCATTGCGATAGTCGAAATTCGCGTTGCGATAGTTCAAGTTCGCATTGCGATTTACATATTCGCATTGCGATAGTCCAAGTTCGCGTTGCGAATCTGGAAACTGATTTGCGATACCGGAGATCACGTTGCGAATTATCGATCGCATTGCGATTTAGTTGGTCATTTTGGCAAATCCAAAAAAAGTTTGTTAAAATCATATATTATAAGGCATTTTTGGTCAATGAGGTTATTTTCTCTTTAAGTAATAATTGACAATTTAACATGAAACCGATTTTGACTTGATCCGATAGGATCAAATATTTTTAAAATAACAATCGAAGTTGGATTTAATCGAATTTTTGAAAGGAGTGAGGTCGGGTCGAGTCAAATTTTTTAAAGTAGTGAGGTGGGTCAGGTCGGGTTCGAGTGAAGGGTGAAAAACTCCGGCCCAACCCAACCTGAGGTAATAGTGTAGTTTCTTCAAATAAATTTATATATAATTGCTATAATACCTCTTCTATCTATTGATTTTTTTAATTAAGTCATTATTTTATACCGGGTTGGGTCGGGTCGGATTAGATTTATATTCTAAAAATTCGGGTCAGATTAGAGTCAAATGGATATTATATATTTTTGGGTCAGATAGGATCGTGTGAAATATAGTTTTGGGTCGGGTCGAGTTCTGGAAGGGTATATATTTTTCAAGTCTATTTAAGTTAACTAAAAACCCGATCCAACCTGATTTCTTGTCATTCCTACATGTTAGATTCACGTTGTCAGTTAAATAAGAACACTCATGTTTACAATTTGATCCACGTGTTTTCAATATGCTGAGGGTTTAACCCTTGGCTAGTTGACAAATGGACTTGATTAATATGATCTTAATATTTTGAGAGTTTAATTGAAATGTTTTAAAGTTTAGAGACTAACTTAAAATATATGTGGTAATTTGAAGTCATTTGGTGGAATTAACCTTTATGCTAATAAATATACGATAATGAAGTTAAAAAGTTTTTTTTGGGGATGTTAGGTATGGGATGTGCTAAACAACGACCAAGTTGCATCCATGGTGATGGAGACAAAAGGTGAGCATGAAGCGGCAAGGACGGTGGTGGAGGCGGCCACCACCTCGTGGAAGAGGAGGTTTCCATCTTCGAAAGTGGATGATTGTACGGCGGTTTGTCTCTTCCTCCAAAACAAGCGACAACCAAGTTTCTTGCCCGAGGAGACCTAAACTAGTTGGTCGACCTTCTTAGTCATATAAAATTGGTAGATATTTTGATCATATATTATAAAGGAAAGTTAATTCCATCATATGTCCCCAAACTATGACGCTCATTTTAAATTAGTCTTTAAACATTTAAACATTTCAATCTCACCCTAAACTATGACTATCATTCTAAATTAGTTTTCAAACTTTTAACATTTTATTTTCATCCTCAAACTACAATCTTCATTCTAAATTGGTCCCCCAAACTTTTTTAAACATTTCAATTTAATCTTAAATTATATGTATATACTAATCACGTCATTTGTTAATAAAATCATTAGACCAAGTTATATTATTATATGTTTGGAAAAAAATAAAAATTTAGGTTAAACTATAATTGAAATGGATTACAAATTCTGGTATAAAATTGAAGATGCAAAAGTTTAGGACCAATTTAGAATGATATTTATAGTTTAGGGATGAAATTGGAATGTTCAAAAGTTTAAGGACTAATTTAGAATGAGAGTCATAGTTTTGAGATGAAATTGGAATGTTTAAAAGTTGAAGGAATAATTTGAAATGAGGGTCATAGTTTGAGGATATATGATGCAATTAACTCTAAAGGAAATTATGTCATCAATAAACTACTTGATTAGATAAGCACATATATAGTTGATAAAATCCAAAAACTTCCATTGGATACCCTGAAATGTATTTTTTGACAATAAGATACCCTGAAATTTCATTCAAGTTTTTCTTGAAAAAAAAAACAAATATAATTAATTAGAACAATATCCTCAACTATTCAAAGTTACAAAATGATTTAAACTCATCATTTTCTGTTAAAAATTACGATCGTCTGAGCTAGACGTTAACATGTTGACTGAGATATAATAGTCATTTAAGATTATGAGATCATATTTTATCATATATCAGTCAGCAGCTTAACGTACAACTCATACTGCCATCAAAATTTTAACAAAAAATGATGAGTTTGAAACATACTAAATAGTCGAGTGACCATTTTATAACTTTTAAAAGTCAATGGACTATAAAAGTAATACTATATAGTCAAAGGATCATTTTATAACTTTAAATAGTCAAGGGAATGAATAAATCATTATTCTATAGTCGGGATCATTTGTGTATTTTACCTTTGATTATATCTATATTTATATATGATTTAAATTTCGTCATCACGGGGCCATGCCTAAAGTTATTCTAACTAAGTTATATTTGATATGTACTTTGTAATGATTGACTTCTACTTAGGGGCAGATGAATATGATAACGGTGAGAGTAGAAATATCTTTCAAGTCCTTTAAAAAAATTTATTTGACCCTTTTAAAATTTTAAATTCTTCAACATTTTAATTTGATCCCGTGATTTATTTTTTTTTAATTAAACCTCTTGTTTCAAATAAATGGTTAATCTTTTAAAAATAAGTAGAAATTATCATCGAAACTATTTAATTCTTTAAAAGTTTAATTAATCTCTAAAACTTAGTACTAGCATTTATTATTGTTTCTACTTATAATAGTTCGAATATAGAAATTTTATACCATAAATTTTAAATCTTAATTTACAAACTTTTTTTTGAAAGATTGGAACGCCTCATTAAAAACCTCATCTAGGCCTAATAAGGGAAAAGAGTGCCCAACTGATATATTACCCGGTAAATGTCATTTAATACGACCTTAGCAATAATCTCGAGAAAAATGAATTAAAAAAATAATTTTTAAACCCTAAACCTTTAAAAATAACCACTTATCTTCAAATGTCAAATCATAATTATATGTGTTTTCTTCAAAAATATTTGTGGCGACCTCAGCACTATAGTCATGAGCGGACGCACTAAGCCACATAGGGCCGATTGTATTTTCGTTATTTTAGAAAAATGATTAAATTTAATTTAATACGGTTCTCGTGTCATGCAATATGGTGATATAGGGCTTAGCAAGGGAAGTCTCTTTGCATACTTGGGTACAAATCCTTCTAATGATAACTTCACCTTCGTTGACGAAAACTCGTTGCAACCACCTACAAAAGCTGTTAGTCAGCGTGATGACGATCTTGTCCAGTTTTGGCACAAGGTTTGTGTCTTAGTTCTTCTCGTTTTGCATCTCTTTCTTTAAAATGATCTCGTTCGGAATGATTGTAAGATGTTTACATTTGTTTTATAGATTCGAAAGCTGACACTATGCTAGTTTTAGAACCCATCTAACTTGGAGCTTTCTCTCGAATCTACGTTGCAGTATCGCAGGGCACCCGAGGGCTCTGCTAGGAAGGTGGAAGCCCAAAAGGAGTTTGTTGAAGCCATGTCTCATAGAATGCATATAGACAACAGTGTGAAACTCATTGGCAAACTTTTATTCGGCATCGAAAGAGGACCGGAAGTTTTGAGCGCCGTTCTACCAGCTGGCCAACCACTCGTCAACGACTGGAAATGCCTTGAGAAAATGGTGAATGTTCTGTACTCTCAGTCTCTCTTAACTTCCTTTTCTCTTGCTACTTTAAAACAACATGCCATTCATCTAAACAGGCGAGGACTTTCGAGACACATTGTGGATCCCTAGCCCAGTACGGGATGTAACACATGCGATCCCTTGCAAACATCTGCAATGCCGGAATTCAGACGCAACAGATGGTCGAGGCATCGGCACATGCTTGTGTTAGCATTCCTACCAGTCGTTGGAGCTGCATTTAAATGATTGTTCATGTGATTGCTTATTTCTAAAATTATGAGTAGGAGCAAGTCTATACCAGACTGCTTAATTTATGTAAATATGGTTAGGATATGTTCCACGAGACAGTATTGTTTGTATATAAATGATGTATGATGAATATTAAAATATTTTAATTAAAAAGATAAATTTTGTCGTGTATGATGTGTTGTTCATATCACTAAACTTTTAATTGTTTTAATTATAATAATAACTTTATTTTTTGTTTCGATTTAGATGGTGTGTTGTTCATATCATTGAACTTTTTATTGTTTTAATTATAATATTAACTTTAATTTTTGTTTCGATTATATCACTGAGTCATTAACTCAATAACGACACAATTGTATAATGACTATTATCAACGTAAATATCACATTAATACATCATTGAAAAGAAAAACTAAATGTTCTACCACCAAGTCAATTTAAGATTTTGATATATATTTAATGAAACTAATATATAGGTTAAATCGCAGTTGAGACTAATATTTATTTAGCAATGTAATTTTATAAAAATACAAAGGTCATTTTTGCCCCTGTAGTAGATCCAATTTATTATTTGTGTTCCTATCGTATTTTTTCATCAATTTAGTTCTCAAAGTTGTTTAAATGCACCATTTTATATCATACCCTAACTTAAAACCTTAAATTATAAATTTTTTAAATTAGAGTTTAGTGTTTAGGGTTTATAATTTAGGTACTTAAAAAAGTTTATAATTTAAGATTTTAAGTTAGGGATAGTGTATAAAATAATAGAATTGAACAACTTAAAAACTAAATAAATACGAAAATACGATAAGGACGAAAGTAATAAATTAAATCTACTAAAAGGGCAGAAGTTGCACTTTGCCTTTTCAAAATGTAAAAATTCCCAATCCTTTATTTGAATAGAAGTTGCAATCTTCCAGCAATCTTTTGGACCAGTGGTTAAGGCTTTTCTGTTGGCACCTACGGATTAGGATTAATGGTACAAAAAAGAAAGAAAGAAAAGGAACAGCAGTTTTTTTTTTTTTTAAAGAATAACGTGAGTAGATTTTGTTGATCATGATTTTATGTACATTCTTTTCCGGGTTGAATAGTTTTGTATTAGTAATAGATAAGAGATTCCGATCACTCGAACCGCCATTAGAATCCGAAAACCTTGGATGATATCTCTAACAATGGCTCCAATGCCTTGGGTGCAAATTTTCTGGCGAAAAGGAAACAAACAGAAGATGTTTGATTGTTGTACCTGCATTCATTGCCTTCATAGATTCTTATGAAGAACTCTTCACTAACGTCTGCGCCTCCGAAAGTTGCCGGGTGAGCACCACCCCTCGACCAGTCTACCCACGTGATGCTTCTATTTGCCAACAGAGTAGGTGCTTGAATTGTTAACATGGTCGGGAAATAATGCTCGTCGACATAGCATTCTGGTCGGCAAAACCGTTCGAACTTTGGGTAATATTTAATGTCTTCCACTATGTTGATTGCCAGCCTTCGGTTGATCTCAAACCACTGGGAACCTTTGCGCCACTGGGTGAGAGCCACTTCCGGAGCCATACTCTCGTTGTACCTCCCTCGAGCAACTGGCCCAGGTTCATCAAATGAATCGACAAAGCTGTATTTGGATTTCTTTATGTACTGGTAGATGGCACTGAAGTTGTGTAAGGGAATGCAAGATTCGGATAGGAGGATGAACCATTCATTGGATATGTCGAGCAAGGCATTGGCAATGAGCCGTCTCTCAGCATCACAGATACTCATCTTTCCCCACTCAGATACCTGTAGAGGTACCAAAAACATAACTATCACTATTATTTAATTCTTACATGGCATAATTTAAAATGGACATATGTTGACATGACACAACCGTTTCATGCAATCCTTTATCGGTATGAGATTTCTTGTGGGAAAATCAATCACAATAAAGTCTCATCAAGTTACTAGCACATTATGTAGCTATCTGTTCCCGAAGTAAAACCTCAGTTCACAACGTAAAGGCGTCAAAACCATACAACTATTGACACCTTGAAGGCTGATGCTACAAGTAATTAGTTCCGAATTGACATCGTATCTGTTTTCAGCAAGCATCAGTAACAGGGTGTGCTATTATATGAGGGTGGTAAACCAGTGTCACCGTCTGAAGCACAAAACAGATCCACAGGTGTAAATCGAAGATCTCAAATGTGCAAGTTTCAGTCCGGATTAAATGATGCCACAAACTGGTCAAGGAATCAAGCTAATGATACATACAGTGTGAACGCAGTCAAATGCATGTTCGTAAATATTCGTGACCATAATTCGTGACGTTTTGCAATGAACTAGTGGTACTCACACATGCATATGAGAACAAACCCTTCATTTGCAAACACAACATTAATAGAACAGAAAAATCACAACCATCAAGCCAACCAAGAACCAGTTAGAATTGGAACTCGAGATAAGGAGAGGCAAAAACTAACATCCGAATGCTGTTATTTTTCTTGAAAGAGATATGGTAATGGAGCCAAGTCTAATCTTCAAAAACCAAGTCTAAGCAACTAGGCATGGTAATCTATGATACTCAGACTTGGGGGTAAACGTTAGTGTATGCAACTGTGTGTGTCTAAGACTTTTATTAAGTAAGGGTATCCTACATGCTAAAACCTCTTCAACAGTAAAGGAACACTTGCAAGACATCCAAGCATGCAAAGAGCAAAATTAAAGACAATAATTCGCCATCTCACACATAAGCATGTAAATGAACATACCAAAACCATATAATATAAAAATGAAGATTTGAATAGCATACCTGACTCGGGATATGTCTCCCGTAAAACACCGAAGATGGTGGAAACTCGGCCTTGAACGATGGCAGTGAATGAATATAGACAGAATAACGGCCATCATGGCCATTAAAAAACCTCTCCCAAATAGGTGAAAGTGGCAATGGTCCCTTGGTCAAGAACATAAAGGCAATCTTGGGAACTCTACGGAATGGATACTTTTTTATTCGAGGCGTGAACGATGCCCTCCAAAACAGCTCTTTATCACTCATCGAATGAAGCAAATTCGAGGGAGGTTTCCTCCAATGATCCAAACTATTATCCGGTTGTTCATCGCAAGTCACGAAATTCGACTTGACCGTCGTTATCACACTATAGATTCCAAAATGCTGGATTGTGTATATACTAATGATGGAAAAGGCAATACAGATAGCAAGATACAATCCGAACAATTGAAGTACCCTTAATGGTGGAGTCTTGAATTGAGTTGCTCTAGTTGTAACCACAGGTTCCTTGCCTTCCTCTAATGACACAACCGACCCAGATCTAGTTTGCATCTTTCAAGACAACCCCAAACACTAGGATCCGAAATTCTGGGTTCAGATCTAAAACCCCAAAGCAGTGAACTAAAAGCTATTGAATCTTAGACCCCCAAAAGGAGTAATTCAGTAAAAAGTTTCTAATATCTAAGCAAGAGAAACAATGATGGAACAACAGACCCAAAGCTGAAAATCGAAAATCAAGAGATCAAAGCAAAAGAATGCACGATAAACAGCATTGTTAACGCAGAATCTAAAGCTAAAATCAAAGTGAGAAGCTGGTTTTAAGTAGAAGATAGTGAAACATTACCATGTAAACCGAGAGAAACGTGGGTAGGTTGTGGCGTTGGCCATTTGTTACTTATAGGTAAGCTGGGTTGATATGTGAAAACGGTGTTTAGGAACGAAATGGCTACGTTTTTAGGTAAGTTGAGAATGGCATTTTTGCTTTGATGTCGCTGTTTTGCATGCTCCGATAGGGGCAGCATTGAAGTTGGATTATCTCCCTCACCTAGACATCTTCAAATTTAAATTATCAACTTTATTTTAAATAAATTAAGCTTTATTTAAATTATCAGTTTCGATCCGTTTTAATATTTAAATTTTTTATTTTTTTAAAAATTAAATATCTAAAGTTTTGTTTTAATTTAATTTTAAAAATTAAATATCTAAAGTTTTGTTTTAATTTAATTTTAGTATTTATGTTCAAAATTTAATGTTAAGTTTCGGAAAAAAAATAAAAGTTTATGTACTAAAACATAGAGAAATGGATAGTTTAGGTACTATAAGGGTTAAGTTTTTAACGGTAGGGTACTAAGATGAAACAAAAACTAAACTTTCAGTATGATTTTGAAAAAAATTAAACGTTTAAGTACTAAAATTGACCAAAATTGATAATTTATGTACTAAATACGTAATTTAATCTTTTATTTTAATTTGATTATTAAATATTAACATATTTAAATTTAATCTATAAATTATTACTATATATCAATTGTTTTCATAAAATTATTACGTGATACATCATCATTGATATTTATTATTTAAATACTTAAAAATGAAAATGAAAGAAAAAAATCGTCATTCAATAATAGCTTGTTACATCAATGGAGTGCATAAAATTAAATCATTGTATTATGGTTTTTGACTTATAGATTAATTTATATAGATTGATAATTTGAGGAGTAAATTGAAATGGGATAAAATTTAGGGACTAATTAATTATTTGTAATGAGATTATAATCCTTATTTTAATTTGAGGAGTAAATTGAAATGAGATAAAGTTTAGGGACTAATTAATTTACTCTTCTACTTGTATGTTTTGTACTAATTCATAATGAAATTTTTGGATGGTGTTTGACACCCACTTGTCAAATTTACTGGATCCTTCAGATCTCACGCCTGGGAAAATGGAGAATGAAGGTTGGGGGTTGTACCCTCCATGTCATGTTTAGTAGGCTCCCATGCTCGACCACCTTTGACAGTTTTCGATACGTACAGCGACCTTCTAGGTGGAAATGGTCTTATAAATTTTTAGAAAACATACCGAGGGAACACTGCATTAAATTATTTTAAATTCCGGAATTATTATTAAAAGAAGAAGGGAAAAAAAACGAGAGATTCAAAGCTGCAGAGAGAACCCTGCAGCTCCAAATTACAAAAGCACAAATCTACCAACACCGACAAAACAAAACACAAGACGTACTCAGCCCAACAGAGATTCACAAACCCTAAAATCCCACACTTTCTTTCTTATAAACTCTGATATCCAGCTTGGCCGCCACGTGAAACCTCTCGAGCTTTATGCTGCACGTACTGTCCATATTCCTTGGCTTTCTGGGTCATATCTCTAGCAGTGCTCGCAAGCTTATTCCTCGCGTAATCAAGCTGATCAGCTCCCAACGGATGTTTCCCTTGCACGTAATAGTACATCCACGATAACGCCGTTATCGCCGCCACCGCACACCCGCCGGAAAACAAGAAACCACTTATGACCAAGAATACAGTCATCCCCGCCGGGACGAGAACAGGGCTGAAGATAACGAGTAACGGCGTCGCCATGATCAAGGCAATCACCGTACCCGTCAGGGTTAACCCCGACAAGAACAGCAGTGTTACGCCCAATGTGGAGGCGGTCAAGAACTTGGCCACATGACGAGAATACGGAGCCGACTCGTAGAGCTTCTGGGTCATCGGCATGTTTTGATCGTTGATCGACATGATAAACAACGGCTCTGATCCTGTCTGATAATGGTGAAGAAGAGGAAGAAGCTGAGTATTAGAAAGAGTGAGGATGAGAGGCCTGAAGTAGTGGGAGCTTGGGAGGGTGATGGCGGTGATATAAGGAGCTGGGTGAACTGAGGAGGTGGACACGTGGCAGACGGTGAGGGGTCCTCGTGGTGAGTGAAGAGGTGAGGATATCAAAATGTGTTTCTGCTTCTCCAGAACAGGGTGTTACCATGGTTCGGGGTGTGGCGCGTGTTGGTATGGGATGCCCGCATGGTTGTGGGTTCACGAGGAGGTGACACGTGGGTTCTATAAGGCTACTACGATCTGTCTTGGGTTTCTTACACCAAAGAAGAAAACATGGCATGATAGACCTCAACTTGAAATCCTCATCCGATCAACATGAATTCAAATCCGACACAAATATTTTGGTCCCAATGTTTCATTTTCAGGCAGAATTAACAAAATAATCATTTTACCTCTTATTTTTAGTCCTCAACATTTCATTTCATTTTAGGTTATAAAATAACTCTTATTTTAAAACGTTAATAGTGTGTTAACTAATGATTTTTATCTATAAATAGAACTTTTTACCTCCAAAGTAAAACGTTTGAACCAAAATATTTCAAGAATATAGGCCACTAACCATTTTAATTTTAATAAATGTTGGGGGTTATTTTTTGCATCATGCCTTTAGAATTAATTTTAGACGACAAGAATTTAAAACAATTCAAATTCAGATTGACTGACTATAAAAGATGGGAGAGGGAAGTACTTTGGAGGCCTAGATTAGCCGAGCATACATTTCAAACTACAAGTAATTCATAAAACACAGAAATTGAAGGCCCCAGTTACTATTTTAATTGATTATTTAAGTGATGGCAAATTTGACTGACTATAAAAGATGGGAGAGGGAAATTCCTTTCATGACATACAAGGCTTGTCTTCAGTCACCGATATTCCGTCATTGCAATTTTCCGCATCCGACAAACCATTTGCTGACATACAAGGATCGTATTCGGTCGCTGATGTTCCGTCATCCAAAATGCCGGTTGCCGGTTGTTTCTCTTTCTTGGATTTGGCGATATCTCTGGGGTTCAAGAAGCTAGGCTGGTTGGTCGAAGAGAGCAGCCTTGCCCACATCCTGTCTGTAATGACCACCTTGTTCTGTTCCTCGGTGATACGCTGCAAATCAAATGACAAAAACCCAATAATTAATCCTATATATATGTGCGCGGCTACTATATGCTACTTCCATGCAACTGGAACTGTCCATCGGGCGGATTGGTCGATGGGTTCAACGGACACTTGAACAATAACCTATAACTTTTAATAGTGCTTACTAACATATGTTATAAAAGGGTGTCGTGGAACATACATTAAATGGAATGTAAGCATGTCTGCCATTGACAGGACCGACAGTGAAGCCTGTATACCCAGCCATTGCTCCATGAACTGCACTTTGAGCAAGTAGGGTGCAGTAGACGTTATCAGAAGCAATGCTAGGAATCGCCCGGATCATGTATGTAGGATCTGCGAGCCAAATTTCTCATGTCATATTTTGCACGTTACTAAAAGGATGAATTTGGAGCAAACGAGAGATTAACCTATATATTTAAGATTAATGGGCATCTTTTTCGCAAAATGTTCCTACACAAAGGAATAGAAGACGGTTAAAGATTTCAGTGTAAATGTTACATTGTCATCTAATCATTTACCACATGTCAACTGAAGTTTGTACCTTTATCCTGTGAGAGATCCACAGCCGACATCTTGAAGAAGCTTGTTTCCCGAAGCATCTTGTTGGTCCATGGAATGCAAGCTCTCTGAAAGAAGATCCTGTCCTGCTCCTTCGGCTATAACAATAACCATATGTCTGTTTTCTTGAGTCGTTTTTCGATATATTCATAAAGTCCGCCATTTCCTTCAAGATAGAATGGTGACTCTGGAATCAAGCAACAATCAACATCACGGCTGGCAAGAGTAGCATACATTCCAATGAAACCTGCAGCGGAGGTTAAATAAGATTAAACAGAGAGTGGATCCGAAAATACCAATTCCATTAACAAACAAAACTAGAGACACCAGGCAGTAGCGAGTACATAATTGTAAAGAGTTCATCTATTATAATCATAACTAAGCATACCACTATAGCGTCCCATTAGCTTCACCAGTCCAATGCCATTCTCGATGCTTGTAGCTTCGACATGTGCTGCATTAATGGCACGTTGGGCCTCCTCAACTGCCGTATCGAAACCGAATGATTTGTCAATAACCTGAGCAAAAATCAGCAACCCAGCACGATGCCATCTCAAGGATTAATAACATGTCTTTCAAGTGGTGTCAAGAATAAAATTTATGAAAACTACAACTTCGAAGAGAAGTACCGGAATGTCATTGTCAATAGTTTTTGGAATTCCAGCAACAGCTACTTTGAGGCCACGTCGCCTAATTTCCTGACAAGATCATTAAACATGAACATCAATTAGTTGCATTGCTTGGCATTCAAATTCATGCCGATAATAGCTTAAAGAGATTGTGACAATATTCCTTATTTGACGATTACAGAAAAAAAAAAAGACAATGCTAATACCTCAAAAATTACTGATGCTCCTCTTTGTGTCCCATCACCTCCAATTATATAAACCTGAACAGCTAAAGGCGACAATTAGAACCCGCGCAATAGCATTCATTTGGGAAAAAAAATATTAGATGCATAAATTCAAACAAACAGAGAGGAGGCTCAGAGAAAAAAAAACCCTCTACCCATGCACCTCAAAGTACCTGATTGATTCCACGATCCTGAATGCTGTCAACAATCTTAGATTTTTCATGACCCCCTCTTGATGTCCCAAGAATTGTACCACCACGTTTATGGATATCGTTGACAAACTTGGGAGTTAAGGTGATTGTGTTCTTTGCATAAAAACCCCTATACCCTCCCTAAAGGTGCATCAAGTATAAGTTTCGGGTGAGATTACCAAGTGATGGGGTTGCTCTTGCTGATTATAAACCAAGTAATCGATAGTATTATACCATAGGGTTACTT